AAAGCGGATTGAAATTATGCTGTTTAAGAGGTAGGAGGAAATGCTAATAATGACCTAAATGCACTTATTATTTGTGTGCTGTTCAGAAGGTACATTTGATCTTCTTAAATGAGCATTTATAATAACATATGTGTGTATCGGTTGTGGCAATATCATTTCTTAAACTCTGGGAAAAACATTTTAAATTTATATCAGTAACTACCTTCTATTTATATAGCTCTCTAAAATTTAAGAATTATATTAATTGTACTATGAATTTACCATTCCTTAGTTATGATGAAATCACTGATATGCAAACCTGACTGTCTGCTAAAGAGGGTGAAGGAAGTGCTCAATGATTGCTTCTGCAGCTTACAGAGGTGGTGAGGGACTCCCATGAGCATGGGCCCAAAAGAAAGCCATCACTACAAGATTCAGGGCACAAGGGAGGACTGTGAACAGCCTCAAGATGTCAATAAGGAAAGACTCATGCCTGTAATCCCAGCACTTTGGGTGGCTGAGGTGGGCGGATCACTTGAGGTCAGGAGTTTGAGACCAGCCTGGCCAACATGGTGAAACCCTGTCTCTACTAAAAATACAAAAACTAGCCTGGCATGGTGGCAGGCTCCTGTAATCCCAGCTACTCAGGAGCTGAAGCATGAGAATCACTTGAACCTGGGAGGCAGGGGTTGCAGTGAACAGAGATCGTGACACTGCAATCCAGCCTGGGCGACAGAAGCAAGACTTCATCTCAAAAAGAAAAAAAGAAAAAGAAAAGAAGAAGAAGATAAAAAATTAAACTCCACGAATGCATTACAAAAAAAAAAAAAAAAAAAAAAAAAAAAAAAAAAAAAAAAAAAAAAGAAAAAGAAAAGAAGAAGAAAGTACATGCCACAAAAGCACAGACTACAGGTGGAGGAGGAAGAGAAGGAGACCTCCTCACTCTAGCAGCTGGGCTTACCAGCAGAGGAAGCGGGCAGTGGTGGCAGGGGAGGGACAGAGCAAGTCCTTCGTGGCCCATGATTCTGGAGATGAGCTACTTTCCGACAACACGATTATGCCTTGAAGTGATTCATAAGAAAAAATGCAGTCAGTAGAAATGGTATGTTTAGTTCCTTTAAAGTTCTAGGTAGGAATAAAGGACATAGGTCTCCAGAGGTTTTTATTATGGCCTTGTACAGGCCATGACTTTGAAGAGAAAGGAAGATGTAGGAGGTGGACTGTTGGCCCGAGATGGTGTCAGAGGACACAGCTGATCTTCTGGCGATTACTCTGAGCTACCAGACATCAATAGCCATCAAGGAGCATCATGAAGACTACCAAGGCTATCAAATAACCTGGCTGGCAGAAGACTCACCTCCTAATGAAGACTTTCAACCGAAATCTGAGTTGGAGAGGAAGACGGGCTCCATTACATTTATACTATGAAGGGTAATAAAGGATAAAATACCCAACATTTCTTAGAAAACGTAGCAGGAAGACTACCAGGAACAGTATTTATAGGCTCAGCTGTTTATTCACCAAGGTTTATTGAATAACCAGTTGCTCTGGAGACTATAACAAATAAATGAGATCCAGGCCCCATATCAGCTGGAAGTGCCTTCTACAAAGCAAATGTCCAAGGAGCTCTCAACCACCCCCGCTATCAAACGTTTCATCTCTGAGAAGGGAGAGAGATCCAGTCTCTTTAGAGGGCATCAGCAGGAAGTGATGCTGTGCCATTGCCATGGACGGTATCATTTCTGGGCCCTGCCAGAAACCCAGATGTCTCCCTTCACTCACCCTCTCCATTTAAACCATGCCTGATCAGTTAATCAGACCTAATCATGTCTCCTTTCGAAAGCTCTCTCAAGTCCACTCTCTCCCTCTGTTTCTTGAATAGAGGTAGTGAACTTGGTCACTACCCTGCCCGCCTCCTAACTGACAGTTCTTTCTCCAGTCTTTCTCTGGTCCCCATACACTATATTCCTTTAAAATGCGAATGTTATACCATCACTACCCTGCTGATAACTCTTCAAACTTGCCCATTGATCTTTAGCTAGTCCAGCCTCTTAGCAGGGCCAGCCCCTTGGACTTGCCTCTGCCTCTTCCTTCAGTACCATCTCTTCCCAACGCCTTCCTATCCACTCAAACCGTTTCTACTAATTACAGTACACTGTTTAGCTCCATGAACACACCGTTCTCTCTGTCCTCTGAGTCTTTACACATGCTGTTCACTGTCTGAAGACATTCTTCTACTCCCCTCACCCTGGTCTCCCAATCCGACCTGGCTCACTCCTTCAGCACAAAGAGTCAACATTTTTTAAATGTCAGGAGAATGTCACAAATGATGGAGGTAGGAAACAGACAGAAGAAAGCTGTGGCCCCTGTGAAGCAGGAACCCTGGAGGAGGCCACATGAGGAGTTCAACTATCAGAAAAGCTGAAAAAATTGCATGAGCAAGACCATGTAGGCAAGAAAAGTACTGGGCAAGCTGGAAAATTGAAGGCAGACAGATCCACCTGGTGCATAAGAGCTGGGGAAGAGTGGGTGAATGAGTGGTCAAGGGGAGAGGCTAGGTCAGTAAAGCTAGACAAGGGAGAGGCCTTGAAAACCAGGCAAAGGAGTTTAGTCCTCATTTTATAAACAACGGGAAAAACTTGAAGCTGGGTAGTGCCAGTTTCCATTTTAAAAAGGTGTGGCCAACGAGTGCAGAGGAATGGGGTTGTCGAGGTGAGTGACCTAGAGGAAGATTAGGAGATGGGGCTCAGACCAGGGTAGCAGCAGGCAGAACTGACTGAGGCGGTGGATTCGGAAAAGATGTGGAGATCTAACCCCCTAGGCTCAATGCTCAATCACTGAATGCAGCAGAGAGAGTGACCCAGGAATCAGAGGGGACTTGAGATCCTTGCCACAGAAACTGAGAATATGGCAAGGCCCATTGACTGAGGTGGGAATCCAAAGCAGGAGCTACTGATTAGTTTTAGAACATGTTGACTTTAGGGTGTAGCCTCTAGAAGCCCACATGCACAATTAAAATCAGACACAGCCCTGGTTTCAGCGTGCAGAGCTGTTCACAGAAACCACCTGTTAGAGTTTGTTTTATCCTTCCTGGTGTCCTTATGTTTCCATGACTCCTTTTTTCATATCCCAATGAAGTAATGTGAATTGTTTGCTTTGCACACCAAGAACGAATTGTCAAAGCGCAGGGAGACTGGACCTGAGCGCCGATGAGTGGGAGAAGAGTGGTTGTGCCAGGGCCAAAATTTTCACTAGGAAATTGTTTTGCTCCCTAAGTTTGTGTCAAGCAGTCATATTCTGTTTCTCTTCCTTTCAAGATCCCTCCCAAGTCCCAGCGTTGACCTGCCCTCATGAGCAACCTGAACACTGCGGACAACACTGCTTCTTCGCTCGGAGCCCCTGGGGCACTTTGAAGTTCACAGCGCACACATTTTTCACATAGTTATGTAGTTTCTTCTTTGCTTTTGAACTCTTTGCAGGTGTGCATCTTGTCTCCTTAACTAAATTCTTAACTCTTAAAGAGCCCGATTTACGTCAAACATTTTATTTTGCAATTGTCAGCGTGCCTAGTAAAGTCCCAAGTGCATATCAAGTTTTCAACAATACAAACTGGATTGAAACTCATTGAATTTATTTGGTGTAGAAAGGAGAGTGGAAAACAACCTCCTTGAAAGGACATGGTATGAGAGGTATCTCCTCTAATACCATGAGAGGTTGATGAGGGGAGAGAGATAGCATCAGTTCCTACCATGTAGAGGAACCTATCCTAACATTAACAAAGGCTTCCCAGGCAAGGCACAGTGGCTCACGCCTGTAATCCCAGCACTTTGGGAAGCTGAGGTGGGTGAATCACAAGGTCAAGAGTTCAAGACCAGCCTAACATGGTAAAACCCCGTCTCTACAAAAATTAGCTAGGTGTGGTGACATGCGCCTGTAATATCAGCTACTCAGGAGGCTGAGTCAGGAGAATCACTTGAACCCAGGAGGCACAGGTTGCAATGAGCCAAGATGGCACCACTGCACTCCAGCCTGGGCGACAGAGCAAGACTCCGTCTTAAAAACAAAAAGAAAGAAAAAAAAAAAGGCTTTCCCTCTCTTGTAATAATAATGATTTTGCATTCTAAATATACTTGAAAGGACGAGAATATTGGTCTTCTAGTTGCCAAGTAATTTGTCTTCTCCACTGGCTAAAATGTCTGTTTTCCTGAGGCCACCTTTTGTGATCAATAATACTGGTAATATAAAATATGGACCTTGTCATTCATAGTGAATTACACGCCATAGCACTCTGCAGCATTCAAATGGCAAGACTGAGAGTGAATCTTTCAATTCCTCTTGGTTAGAGCTCCATTTGTGTGGCCATCATGATGTTCCAGCAACTTAAAAGGAGGGTATGCACGACTCAGCTCGTGACATTTTCCCCAGGCAGAAGAGATGGGAAAACCCCAAGTATTACAGTGGCCAGATTGTGTACTTGTCATATTGGAGGAAGATGTCTATGGGAGAAGTGAGGAGAGGAGGTAGGAAGCTCATTTTGTAGATTGATGAATCCCAAAGATTTCAGGGGCTGTCCTGACACCAGTGCCTGGCACTCCACCATCTATGTCATTCTTTAATATGGATCCCGCTCCCCAGGATGCTTATAGGGCATTGGAATAATGGGACCATAACTTGTAGCTTTCAGTAGGAGACACAGTTAAGAATAGGAGGAGGAGTGGTTTGAAAGGAGGATGAGTGGATCAGGTGATGGATATCCTAAAAGCTCGAACTTGACCACTGCACAATCTATGCATCTTTAAAAATTGCACTTGTATCCCATAAATTTATACAAATACAATAAAAATTAGAGCACAGCGAGTTCTACTCTCTAGAGCAGCATGAAGCATGCCTCCAGAGGTCAGCAAAGATGAGAGGAAAAGACACTAGAGTACTTGCTTTACAGCTGTGCCAAGTAAAGACACTAGAGTACTTGCTTTACAGCTGTGCCAAGTACTTGACTCCCCATGCATTTTAGAGCATACCTTCCCCCTTCTGAGGTTCCCACGGGATAGCAGCGTAAACAGCAGGAGAGCTCCTTCTCAGCCCTGGTGGCACCAACGCCCCTTGGCTCTGTGTCACATTCCTTCAAAGACTTCATGGGCCTCAGGTTACAAAGGCCCTGTTGCACAATTCTTGGGAGGGTGGGCATGGGGCTGGGCTGGAATGACAGGCAGTGTCCTGCGCGTGTCGGAGATCCAGCGTGGCCACCTGCCAAGGCGCCTCAGGGGACGGCAGCAAGAGGAGACTGTTGTCTCAGGATCTTCGAAGAGGTAGCTTCCTTTTGCTTTTTTCCTTCCAAGCCTCTTAAATAAGATTTGTCAAGGCTACATTTTCTCTGATAATTCAAGAGAAAATATTTCAGAAGTTTACTTGGCCTACCTGGATTTCATTTTACTGGAGAGATTTGAAACTTCAAAACCACAGTGAAGAATTCTGAAACTAAAACTCCTTTTATCCCTCTGTTTTTCACAATTATCTTTCTCCTGTAGTAATACACTGCAGTGTGTGCAAAATTACTCAATACATTACACAACTTTTAAAATTAATATGGAAGCTGAAAGGTATTACAACAGCACTGTTTAAAGCCTATGCCATGATGGAATGCTCTTTCTTATGCTCTTTCTTGTTGGCAATTTTTTCATAATTCTCTTTTATTAAAGACAATCTGCATGCAAAATCAGAAACATATGGAAAATCCTTACAAGAAGCACACTCCTCAGTTGGCAAAAAAATCAATCTAATGGCCTAGAAAATACTTATCAGATCTTTCTAAGGCTAATGATGGAGTTGATGACTATAAAAATTAGGTCTCTATTTATATTTTTTAAATTCTTCATTTCATTTTCTTTTAGAATTTGGATCTTTGGGATGATATTAATACATTTGAAATAAATTTAATTGGAAAAACCCTGAGTACCTGCACACAGGGACTGCCTGGGCTCAACTTGCACATTAACTAGGGATGCAAGGCATAATATGTATAGTTTCACATATAACAAACCCTGGACAAGTCTAAGGAGGCTTCTTAATTCTCACGTTAATTCCAAATAGAATATTATCCCTTATTCATAGGAATAAGTCAGAAAAGGCTCATATAGAAGATGTATTAAGTAATAAGGGTAGGTTTGTTACCACGGATGGGTATAATAGCCAGCCCCACACCTGCCAGATAAAGTACTCATAATGTACTCATAAAGTACTCATCTGTACATTCAAAGGTGTACACACACACATTCATAACCAAGGTATTATTTACCCAAACTGGAAAAGACAAGGCCCCAGGAAGACTGTATATTTTTTATCAAGTAAAAATCTGATAAATTATATAAAATTTTTTTAAGAAAAAAAAGATTACTTCTAATCAGCCCTCAATGTACAGCAGCTGGTCCATTTCCCTGGATTTATTTTCACTGCTATCTCAGTCTTTTGGGCGGGGTCTTCGGTACTTTCACTTGTCCTTGACCAAAGCTTATTTTGCATGCTGCTGCATACAAAATAAGATAATATCTGCTTTTATTAATGACCACACCAAGGTGATAAAATATTTCCTCCTTTTAGAATATTCTTAGAAAATCAAAGAGTTAATTCAAATATGAACGAATACATTCATTCATTGTGGGGCAGAGTGTATTGGAGAGGACACCAGGCTAAGAGTGAGGGGGGTTAAATTGAGTCCCCAGTGCTATCAACCTTAGCCAAGACACTTAACTTCCCTGTATGGTTTCTTCTTCTGGAAATGAAGCTGTGGAATGGATGATCTTCTAGTTCCCAGCCAACTCTAAAATTCTCCAGTATGTGACAGATGCAGCAGCATGTGACTAACACAAGGGTCAGGGAACATTACAGTCAATAAATGCAAGTGGAGATGAGTTAAGACACTCTGTATTTTGTGCGTATTATTTGAGGTTCAGCTTAAACTTAGTTTTCAGTGGCTATCAGTAAATAAAACCTAAAAACTGGACCAATGAGATTTTAATGTTCAAGGTCTTAAGTGGTTATGATTAGATCATAACCCAATTATGAAAATCACAGTGACTTCTGTAGACAGAAGTTGAATGTGTGTTATAAAGTTAATGTGCAAGTGTATTTTGTTTTTATGTGGGTCTCTCAGTTTTACATGCTTTGAGGGCTATTACTACTTTCACAGAGTGTGAAAGTATTGGCCTCGCTGCTGTGATGTATTTATTTGTGATGTGTTGGAGCCAATGAGAGTTAGAATTGTGTCCTGTGGATAGAGATTCCATCTCCTCCTCTTGTTGACGGTTGTTGGGGTCCCATGTGGGTAACTGACAGAACATGGACCTGTCAGAACATGGACTGGTGCTCCCAGTGAGGGAGCGTCATCAACTCTGATCTTGCAGGCAGAGCTCAGTGTGCCTGCCTGAGCTGTCCTGTGCCCTGACTCTGGGGTGGCAGTGTGCTAAGACCCAAGGGAGTCCACATGGGGATGAGTCAGGGCCTGGCGCCGGCCCCGTGCTCCGCCCCACTGGTAAACAGTTCTTTGCCGTCACTCAGAGCCTCTCAGGGCCCCAAGACGCCAGGAAGAAACAAGTATTGTAGAAGCCAAAACCCCAAGGCAAGGTAAAGAAAACAGAACTGTCCGCATCCCCAGCAATGATTTCACTGGCAGGAGTTGCTGGGGGCAGCATGGGGTATATGGTTCCAGCAGAACTGTTTTACTTACTTCTCAACCAAAAGGTCCTTCTCTTTTATTGTTTATAGGGGTGGCCTTCTGCCTTTCAAGACCTGAACTTTCAAAACTTGATGTTAGAATCAATCCTGGTTGCTAACCCATAATACAACTTTTTGCATTTATTACTTTTGTTTGTTTTTGTACTGGCTTCTATTAAAATACTTCCTTCAGTTAATTTACCTTTGTTTACTCTTCCCTGTCATTCCAGGGAGAAGCTATTGGAGGAAAAACCCTCTGAGTAGAAGTATATCACCAGCAACACATGTGGACTACAGCCTCGGAAATGTCCTCATGGTCCGGCTTCATAAAAAGCAGCCTGGCTGTTGGCAAGATGTGCCCAGCTCTGCTTCTGCTCATGTGGAATGTAACATTACCCTAATGCAGCTGGGGCACATGCTGTCTGTGCTTATACTGTTCTTCCTAAGCTTGGTGACACACTCACCTTGAGGTCTCTCCTCTTTTTCCTTTAGGCACCGGCAAGTCCTGTTCTGAGCTTAGCAATACCACGTACCTGAACTGGTGGCATGTCTGGCTGATCCCTTATGGCTCCCTCCAGTAGCGTCCCACCTCGGCTATTAATAGTAACTGCACCTCCTGCTATTCTCCTTCCTGGTTGCCAAGGACAAACCTGGGCTGGATATTATGATGTCACAGAGTGGAATCCTCACTTCTCCCTATGGTCCAGCTAAGGCCCTCCTGGATGGCACTTCCTCTCCTGCCCAGGGTGGGAGGTTGGGAAGGACATTCCCCTAATTTCCACTTGCTCTGCCATTCAAACCCTCAGGAAAGAATGCCCTTGCAGGTCATAAACTGACCTGCAGAATTATAGGATCTTAACTGTGGGGAGAGACCTAGAAGACCAGCTAGTGACCAGATTCTCGTCTAACTCCCTTTTTTTACTGATGAGGAAACTGATGAGGAAACGTGGTGAAGTGGTAGAGTTGATTCTGGAGCCCAGGTGCCCTCAGTGTCAGCCCCTGCCATTCTGACCATGCTGCCCTCAGATCTTGGTCTACTCTCTGGAGCTTGTCAACATCACAGTTTTCTGGTAGGCAGCTCATCAGACAATTTTTACTGGAATCCACCCACAAGAGACCATTTGGATAATGTACATTATGGAAGGAGAACAGAGTCTCAGTGAAGATCATTAGTTTCCCAACAATGTAAGTGCCAGGAGTAGCTGGCTCTGGTCCTAGCCCAGACTCAGAAACCCTAAGCCACCACACCAATTCTAGATTTACAAGTAAGATGACTTCTGAATAACTAATATTTTCCTTGAGATTTGATGATAAGCAGCAAAGCTCAAATAAAAGTCCAGAGTTATTGTTGGCAGGGTGAGGTGGCTCATCCTTGTTATCCTAGCACTTTGAGAGCCCGAGGTGGGAGGGTCACTTGAGCCCAGGAGTTTGAGACCAGCCTGGGGAATATAGTGAGACCCCATCTTTACAAAAAATACAAAAATTAGCCAGGCTTGGTGGTGCATGCCTGTAGTTCTAACTACTCAGGAAGCTGAGCAGGGAGGATCGCTTGAGCCCAGGAGGTCACAGCTGCAGTGAGCCGAGATGGCACCACTGCACTTCAACCTGGGTGGCAGAATGAGACCTTGTCTAAAAAACACACATGCACAAAAACAAAAACCAGTATTGACTACAGTGCTATACCAGGTTCTAGTGTTGAGGAGGGGACAGGCAGGAGCAATCTATAAAGAAATAGACTCTCACTGGAACTTCGTTCTTCATTCTTTCATACCCTTCACTTTTTCTAGACACTAAGCCCATACGGTACAAAAAAAATTATCTGTATTGCATGAGATGATGTATCTGTGAAATCAGAGAATTGTGCTTTAAGAATTTCACAAGAGGAGAACATATATTGGGCTTTTATAATACCAACAACTAACATTTTACATCATGCTTCAGCATTTACAAGCCATTTTCACATCACTCTCTAATCTTCACAACTTGGTGAGATAAACAGAGTGTTATTTTTGGTATAATTTTATGGATGAGAAAATTATAGCTTAGAGAGGTTTTGTCTTGCACGAGATCACAAAGCTAATTAAGTGGAAAGGTTACTTAACATTAACTACAAACCAGATCTTCCACCAAGCCTTTTCCCCACCACAGGCTTCCCCGGTTGGGAAGAAGTTGTCATTTAGTCCCAGAACACACTTGGAGACCACAGCCTTAAGTAACCCTGAATAACAAGGAAGAAGGGATTCCCATAGGTCATAAATACCGCTGTACTGACTTCTTAAATGGCTACGTAAAAACTTAGAGAAATGGTTAATGGACACTGATTTTAAACTTTAAAATAATATAAGTATTGCCCTTGCATTCAACAATCTCAAATCTGTGAATTTTCCTAAGAGAACCA